TATTACTATTTGGCTGCTTACAAAAACGTCTAAAAATAAAACAAAATCGTCAAAAAAATTACAATTTTGTCTAAAGGAAACGGTCCCTTTTTTTAACAAATTCATCTAAAATATTTTTTTTTTAAATGACAAAACCATCTAAAAAGGTGACAATTTTTTTCTTAACAAAATCGGGTTTTAAAATAACAAAATCGAAAAAATACTAGTTTTCTGGCAAAATTGACAAAAACGTCTAAAACCCTCCAAAAACATCTATGGACAAAATGTTTATTCAAAGTGACAAATCCATCTAAAATGCTGAAAAAATAATTCAACAAAATCATCTAAAATTTGCAAATTATTTTACTAACGAAATCGTCTAAATACGAGTTTGCTGGAAAAATGACAATATCATCTAAAACACTCTCAAAAATCAAAAATTCATATGATATTTTCATGCTGAAAAAATCGCCTGAAATATGCCATCAGTGGTTTGCAAATGAAAAAATACTCTCCGGATTGGAAAGCCATCTTCAGTGTATGTCTTATCAAATTCATTGGGTATGGTTTTTATCATATCACTTTTTGGAATCAAACTAAGCTCATATGCAATGTGTTGTGAAGTGAAAAATAAAAATAATCGAATGAATATTCGGCAAAATGTGTGATTCTTAAAGTAAAAAATAAAGAAGATATTGAAAAAAAATTGGGATTTTAGATTATTATTTTGTCATTTTAAATAAACTATTGTTCATAGTCGTTTTTGGCATATTTCGGGCGATTTTTTCAGCATGAAAATATCATATGAATTTGTGATTTTTGGGAGTGTTTTAGATGATAATGTCACTTTGAATAAACATCTTGTACATAGATTTTTGTGAAGTCTTTTAGACGATTTTTTCATTTTTCCAGAAAACTCGTTTTTAGACGATTTCGTTAGTAAAATAATTTGCAAATTTTAGATGATTTTGTTGAATTATTTTTTCAGCATTTTAGATGGATTTCCACTTTAAATAAATATTTTGTCCATAGATGTTTTTGGAGTCTTTTAGATGATTTTGTCATTTTAAAAAAAATATTTTAGACGAATTTGTTAAAAAAGGGACCATTTCCTTTAGACGAAATTGTCATTTTTTTTTAGACGATTTTGTTTTATTTTTAGACGTTTTTGTATTTAACCATTACTATTTTAACCAAGATTCTTACCTGACAAATATGAGCAGTTGCGTTCACGTACAAAGTGGTTCTTTCTCGCTAGAAATTATTTTTGCAAGCCCAAATATCTATTCGTTCTTATCCTACATATTTTATGAATCTAAAGAAATCTTGACGTCGTAATTGGAACGAGAAAATTTGAAGGCAAAAAATGTATTCCAAGAATTAAGTCAAGGTAAGGTTGGTCAGCTCAGATTAATGAAGAAAGAATCAAATTTGAAATATCATCTAGTGAACTTTAAAAGGATATGAAATTTTGAATAAGAATTAAAAATTGCATCCATAACAATAAAACATAATAAAATATGTATCGTTTTTTCTCATATTTTATCTCGTGTATATGAAAATCAGTTTAATGTGAATATATACGTATGATGTTTTTATCAAAGGAATGATTCTTGACCCATTCTACGCAGATTTTTTTTTTTGATCTCTTTTCTCATTTGAAATTACACAAAGAAAAAGGAGATAACTTTTTCTTCGAAATTCATCTGCATAATAAAATATTAAAACAAGAAAGAATTTGGTCGTAAAATGAAAAATTCATTCTATTTATGCGTGTCTAAATGAATATACGCCTCGCTTGTTATTTGCGGTTTTTAGCTCGAGATCAACCGAATCTTATAATTAACTGTAATGATAGAGATTTCCATGTCATATGCGTGATGAATAATGTACTATACAAGGCCAACTAATAGTCTTGAATTGATTGCTTTCTTTTGATTCTTGGAATATCGTCGATTTAGTTGGACTTTTTTTCGTGGATTTTGAATATCATCAATGAATTTTTGGGATCAACAATTATTTACAGCAAAGAAGCGTAGAATATAATTCTTATTCTGCATTTAACTTTTGCTTGGAAATAAAACGTCAATGAAAATGGCATTACGACCAAATTGAAAGTATCATAAATGAAATTCGCATCGGAAAATATTAAAAGGTGTCGCTGTGACAATGATATTGGACATATTGATTGATGGCGCGACTTTTATTCAGTAGTCAAGTATTTCAAAGTTCATATTGTTTTCTTTGTTTTAATTTTTTTACCTTACACTTGAGAAAAACCACTGACGTGCATGTGATCAACACATGGCAATGCTGCATATTTGATCTGTTCAAAATGCGAGGCCCAAATGCTTATCGCTTAAAGCTGCTGTAAATGTAATGTTTATATAGGAAATGGAAAATGGCAAAATTGGTTCATCCAGGAAACGATACTCTCCACGGATGGCATACTTACACCGAAACGGAGTCGATTTCGTTGTGAGTTGGTTTGGAACCCACAACTAAATCTAATATTTACCCATAAATATGATGATCTGATGAGATGATGAGTGTGAATCATTCAATGTGTGATTCAGGTTCTGCAGAATACCTCACTATAAATTAATTAAAATTTACAGCTACAAAATACCAAATGTTGACGAAACATCCAGATGAACAGCAATAAGCGGACGAAATCCGAATCGAGCAGCTTCATTCGAACACTTTTTTTTCTTTTACACTTTTCTTCTGCACTAATCACTTTTCACTGCACATTACGAAAGATTTTTTGAATTTCCAATTTAAAAAAAAAATGACAAAATTAAAAATCCAATAAAACCGATACGCGAACCGAACGAAAAAGAAAAAAACCGAAAAAATTCCGATAAACAAAACGAACTCGGCATTTTAGAAAGAAAAAGACCGCGCGGTAGAAATTTATTTATCGAAAGCGTACGCTTTAAAAAGCTCCTTGCAGAGAAATCAAGGAAGTATTTTAAATAGAAAAAAAAAACGGAGGAAAGATAATCACAAAAATAAAATCGTAAAAAAACTTAAAGAAATTTTAAAAAAAATTGTGGCGCATGCGTTTTCATCGTTTCAACAATAGCAATTAAAGTATTAAAGGACAAACGAATAAAATATGAATGATGAATAGTTGCTAATTTGATTTAAAGCTCGAAACATATATGGTTTTTTGTTGTTGCTTTTCTTCACATAAGCAACATAGCTGTTCCATATCTCATACCACAACATGAAACCAATACGGACAAGCTAATGAATGCGGCTGACAATGTGTGATTCGAGGGATTTCAATCAAATTAGCAATTATATAGGATTAAATATATAGGGGGAAAATAAGATGAACCAAATTGTGAGGAATAGCAAAGCAAGTTGTTTAATTTTGGTTGTGATATCCAAAAACAAACCAGTGAAAAAAAAAATATAATCAAAAATATTGAAATTAAAACGAAAAACTTGAACTCAAAACGGCCAGCGAATAAATAAATGAAAAATTGACAAATTCAATGCTAAAAAATGGATCCATTCAATTGGATACTAAAAAAGTCAGCGTACATGACTTATCAAAAATAAATGGTTAGGCTCGCCTCCGCACATATGAAAATTCGAACTTTTGGTTCCATTTCAATATTTTCGAGGGTATTTAGCGCAAATGTAAATGAAAAAAAAACGAATAAATACGATAAAAAAAATAAAGTAAAATGTTTCAATGCTACACAATCACCATTAGTTTTTGTTTGTTCCTTTTTGATTTTTACACAGATAAAAAAGGATGAACAACAAAATTAAATCCATTCTGAGATGAAATGTAAATTAAATAATTCTTGTTTCTTTCAACTTTTCCAAACTAACCAAAGGTATTTATAACAAGTAAATATAATAATTCAAAAAATTGAATAGGAAAATAGTTGTGAATACATATTTGTTTTTCTTTATGCTTTTTTTTTCATTTTGGTCTCAAATAAAAAATCAAACAATTTACAAATCAAATATCAAAATACTTTGGGAAAAAACAACTGTGTATGCCCATACGATACAAATATGATGAAATTGTGAATTTATTGGTGTGTGTGTCGCTTCGTAATGGATTTTTTTGTGTTTCGTTTTTATTTGTTCGGCATTGACCAATTTGTATATTTTTTTAATTTCGCCATCGTTCACATGCCTTTCGCACCTACCTTGCTCCATGATATAATACTCCATCGTCGAAATTTGGACACCGAACCACTTTCCCACAGGATCTTCAAATTATTTGTTTGTTTGTTTGTTTGTTTGTTTTTTTAACACCATCGTTACAAATTTTTAGCAACCGCTTAAAAAATGATGATCACAAAAAAGACTGTTCGTGTCACATTGAAAAAAAAAATCTATATAGAACTTTTGGAAAATTTGGGATGACAATATATTAACAACAAAAGCCGCCACAAAAAAAAATGTCACACTGATTTGATGCAAAATTGAGAAGGGTCATGTGAACGACGACACTGATCCGAACATAATTTGTAAAGCGATATGAATTCATCGAAACCGCAAAAAACAACAATTTTCCATTTTTGCTTCGATATTGAATATTTCATGATTAGCAAAAAATTCATTTCATCATATTTCCATACCATTTCCAAAGTGAAACAATTTACTCGTTTGGTCCATTTTTTTTCTTTTCTTCCATGAATGGAAAATTTTAACGCTGACCAAAACCAATGATAATAAAGAATAATTGGAAATGATGTGGCCGCAGTGCATTTGTTCAAAATATGCAAGCTCTATATATTCTTCAGTAACGTATCTACGGTAACACACAAATAAACAATTTGCGATAACACTTAATGCAAATCAACATATCTTCACTAGCTAAGTAATAATGTTTATATTTGTTGTTGCCGTCGCTTTTTATGTGTTTCGCGTGAAATAGCCTGGCTTATTTTCGATTGGAAAGCGCTCATTAAATGTAAATGTAATTTGGATTGAAGTGTTATCGCCAATTATTTATCGAGGGCATGTAATCGTTTAATTCAACTCACCTTGAGCATCTCGATGTTGACCAACTGATTCTTGTGTTGCCAAATAAACATCATCCTGAGATCGATCCACTTGCCATTGAGCGTAGCCTATGTGTGTGTGCAATCAGAACGACAATTTAGATCGCTGATCTTTCTTTTCTTTTTTCAAATGGATTTTGTGTTTTTTTTTTAGCTTACCTTGACTAGAACCTTCGCCACCGTGACTCGGTCCCGCCTGTTCCATGTCGTCCATTAGATCTTCGTCAGCCATTGTTAGATCTTCAACGGCTTCATCGTTACCATCTTCGTATTCACTTTTTGGTTCAATTAACAATTCCGTTTCGATCTTGTCCTTATTCGAGCCATCTGTGTTACGAGTTTTGTGCCGAACGATTGTTGGTTCTTCCTCTTCCTCTTCTTCGTCATCATCATCATCGTCGTCTGGTTTTTTTAAATCAAAATTAAAATTGATTCAGTTAGATTTCGAAATCTAAAGCGAATTTATGAGAGTGCAATAGGCAATAGGTTATAGATATATTGCTTAAACTTACCATTTGAATGGTTGTCAGTCTTTTTGGTAACGTTCAATACATTTGCGGCAGAGGTAGCTGTGGTAATTTGTGATAGCGTTAACGGTGTGCTTGTAATCGGTTGCGCTTGTTGTGTGGCCGATTGTGATGATGAATTCGACATTTGATCGTGGTTGTCGATGGTGGTGGCCGCATTATTTGTATCGACGCTGCGACGACGAACTCGTTTTCGTTTACGTGACAATGGACTAGTGGAACCTTCTCGATCTGGATTTGGAAATTGAAGACACAAAAAGAAAACGCACATTCAATAAATAAACATTGTACATGAATTGGTTTCAGTGTCAAAGAAAAAGAGAGCAATTGTAATCATAATCCAATTTGCTTACCTCCAGGCAATTCCGCATTTGGTCTTTTGTTGTTTTGTTCAATGGTCAAACCCGTTTTGGCAGCTGAACCAGCTGCACCACCGCTTACAGGTACTTGCTGTTTCTGTTGTTGTTGTTGTTGTGCACTGTCACCACCCTTGGCTGACGATCCACTTCGATTATCCGATAGACCTTTGATTTGCAACGATTCGGCTGCTTTCAACAGTGCGGCCAGCTGATCTTGCGAGATATTCACTTCGCCACGATACATATAGTCCATCATGGCCCGAAGCTCTTGGAATTTCACATCCTTCAGGATAAAAATCGGATGTTTGTCGTATTGTTGCGAAAGGAGTGACTGTAATCCACCAAGAAAAAAACAAATAAAAAACAATGAGGTAATCAATAGAAAAACTGGGCCGGGATTGTGTTTTGTGTAGTTTTCCAGCACGGAATTCAAAACTCCATTTCAAACTTGAATTTCAAGTATGAAATGTGTTTATGTAAAAGTGTATGATTGTTTTTTTTTTTCAAATTTATTTCTCACTTTTCAAAAAATATAAACACCATGATTTTGTAACTTACCGCAAAGTATGGACTACACGCACATAAAACCACCTTATGTGCTTTCAAAAACTTTCCTTCGGCGGCTAATGTACAGTCAACTAATGTACCATTTTCCAGAAGGGTGTCGAACACACTGATCAGCGTGCTCTGGTGATTGTTCCACCGCAGACAAAACTGTTGATCATCATCCATTTTGTTGGTTATTCGTGATGATCCAACAACAATTTTGCGGTTAAAATGTTTTATCCCGTTGCCTATACTTTGATTTTATGTATCTGTAAGTGAACAAGCAAAAACAAACAATTGTCAAAAACACGATTGAATGGGAAACCAAATCTATATAATAATGATAAATGAAAAAAGCAATTCAAGATTCAAAATCAGAATCTTAATCAGCGATTCGAAATTAATTAAATAATCGTAACAGTGACAGCTCAGTAGAACCCATTTCAAACAAATAACGAAATCGGTCAAAACAAAACGAGAAACAAACGCTCACACATTTGCAAAGACGAGAGAGAGAGAGAAAGAAAAAAATCAAACGCACATATCAAAGACCAGTTTTTTAAGTGTGATAGGTAGATTTTTATGCGTCATTCTTCATGCTTCGTTCTGAAGCAATGTTGTTGTTTTTGCCACGACTTTCTGACACCAGAACATACTTTCAATGACAATCCAACAAACACGCGACCAATAAAAAAGAGACGACGACTTCATATACACGATGTCCATTACAATTTTTTTTTGCATCATCGACACTCGAAAAAAATATAATTGTTCAATTGCCAAAAAAAAATCAGTCAAAAAGATCATGTTTTTTTCGTTCAATAATAAGGATTAGTGCGGAAAAAAACTGTACAAAATGCAAAGAGAAAAAATCAAACCAGCAGACACGTGGAATTCAGGTAATCAAACATTGAATTGTTAGATGAATATTAAAGATTTTTTTTTTGGCATGGAACCTTTTTTTCGCCCTTCTCGTTACGATTGACGAGCGTCAGAATAATCGATTTGTCGGTTCACAAAAACAACGCTATGCTTTAAGGCTAAGCTGTGTAACACTGATCGAGTTTGACGAACGTTTACACAAAGGGGACACACACGCACACACACACACAGAGAGAGAGAGAGAGAGAGAGATGCAGGCGCAAAATAGAAGCGATTATCATTTTGATTTCAGTATGAACATACAGAGAACAAGGCAATAGCGGCAATCTCATGACGACGCCACCATAAAATCGATTGCACAGATTTCGGCATGATTCTTCTCTTTAGAACAGTTATGTATATGATTGAGATTGCAGTCTCGGGTACATAGACAAAGCAGAGGAAAACACACACACACACACACCAGTAATGAGCATTAGCCTGCATTGTCAATGGTTGTCAATAAAGTAGAATGATGTTGGAAAAGAAAACTTCACATATAAATAATTGTGCCGATCGTTTGGTTTTTTTTTTTGGGTCGCGCATTTAATATAACAAGAAAAATTAATATTTTTTTTTATTTACATTTATTTACATATGCAAATATCGAAAGTACCAAAGCACAAATCGTATATGCCATGAGACGGCAATACTCAGCGAACACATTCACAAAGCATTTGCTTTTTTTTCATTACATTTCGTTTATTTCCATTCACAATTTGTGTACCGAACAACCTCTTTATTATGTTGTATTGTCTAAGTATTGAATTTACCAAATTATTTTTGCTTCTAGCAGCTTGCCACTGCTGCCGCGTTTTTCATTTCATTTCAGTTCCAAACTAATTCAAACTGTGTGCTTGTATTTAATGGGGTTCACCCGTTCGTGTCATGTATATTATTTCTTTTTTTCGTCGTTATCATCGTCTTCTGTTTAATGATGTGTTCATGTACTGTTGACAATTTGCACAAAACACTTTTGATCGACCTCATTCAAAACGTATCGTTCGATTTATTCGGTGTGCTAATAAAGAGAAGGTGGAAAATGCACTAGAAAATCAAGCACAGCAGTGGAAATAACACGGATAACCAACAGCCAAAGTGAAAAAAAACCAATAATCAATTGTGCATTAATTCAAAAGATCTCTCTTTCTCTCTCACACTCTTGCTCTATTTGTGTGCGCAAAAATCAAATGAACTTCGAACATCGTTGGTTGGTCAAAATATATCAAAAATGGTGTCAAACTAATTTATATTTTGGAAATCATTCAAATATGTACTAACATAGCAAAAGCACGGCCGATAAAATCATCCAAAGAACGAAAACTAATATGGCGGTAGCTTAGAATGATTTGAATTTTTGTGTTCTATTTTCTGTGTATGCACTCGAACATTTAGAATGATGCATGCGTGTGAATAATATGGATCGGAGTAGAGGTGTCCAACTTACGGTAAAAAAAATATGGCGACAAATGAACGAATTAGAAAAAATCACTTTTCCAGTTGCAACTCATCGAAAAGCACTAGGAATTTATAACACACCAATTTACACACAACAATCGCATCAGCACATATTCGTTGAAACGGTTTGATTATTCTTATCGAAAATGGAAAATGAGATTTATGATCAGCAAAATATTCGACCGAATTGAATAACTCCAGAAACGAAAAAAGAATGACGTCAAAATTGTAACTATATGAAAATGGATAACAATACACACCGTGTATAGAAGAAAAAGAAGTTGATAAAATAAACCACACTGTTTTGCGTTTGGTTCGTTCACTTCCTTTTTGATATTTTGAAAGCAAAAAATATCACAATCGCACTAACAAACGCTACGCTCCAATATCTGATCGACTCTGAATGTGATTGTGCAAATTACCATCGGTATAGGTAGGTAATGGCCAAAATGTTCACTCATACTCTCTCGCCCATTCTCATTTCCTCTCGTTCTCACTCTCCCGCCGTACTCAACACATATTTCGCACACATACATTCGCTTTCTCTCACTCATCGGTTTATGTTCGCAGTAGTTTTCAGCTGCGTTCGGCACAAGCCGATCTTCTACCAATTTTTCTTTCCCTTCTTTGTCGTTCATACTCATTCGTTCGTTTATTCGATAAAACGCTTCATCTCTTTCACTCTTCATTTGTTTTTTTTTTTTTGCTTTTGCTTTTGCTTTAGTTTGGCTTTGCTTTCTCTTGCTGTGAGTTGTGCTGAGTGTGCTTGAATTCTCCGCCTAATGCATTTATTGCCCCTTGTTTTTTATAACTCTGTTGAAATATCACTCCAAATAAAAGAGTACATACACTCTGTGTGTGTTTCAAAATAATATCGCGTCTCTTTGGGTCTCTTTCTATTTGTTTAACTAAAACGAAGAATAAAATGAACGGGAGAAGAGAATAAAAAAATAGCAACAGCAGCAGCAACAACAACAACAACAACAACAACAACAACAACAACAAGAACAACACAAAATTTTGTTCGTGCTCTTGGCATGAGCATGTTACGCTTATGGAAAAAGCGAATGAACATTTTTGTGAGTGGGCGATCTTTATGTCTTGTTTTCGCTCTCTTTGTTCATTAATTTCAATCGTTCGTTCGTATTTCCACACACAACGTACGTGATTGCAGAATAAATGTTGTTGCACCGCCGTTCGCGTCGTAAGTTTTTAGTTTTTATGATAATGTCATAAATTAATCGGAATCGGCAAAGTAATGCGAATGAGAATGAAAATGAGCTGATGCTCGAATACCATGTTGAAAGCCGAAGGCAGACCAGAAATGAAACAAAAAATAACAACAACAACAACAACAACAACAATAAAATAATGATATTAAGAATCAGAGAACACTAAATGTGTTCATTAGATAAAGTCACATACAATTATTTATGCGCAGAAAATTCTGTAAAGTTGTTTACTTTTTTCTCTCTTCTACTTCGTATGCATGAACATCATCATAAACAGTAGCAGCAGCCGTAAACAGCTACACAAAGTGCGACAGCACTCTGCGAAAAATTTATGTGTACGAGCTGAATGTTCAACACCTACAAGCCTAACTGGCTCGCTCACTCACTCGCTCTCTCGTTAGCATACACAGACACATACAGAGGTAAACAGGCAGATAAAAACTCAGCACACACACGCACACAAACACGTATTACGGACGATCCAAAAAGAAAAAGAAGAAAAAACGCCGAGAGAACATGCAATATCACTCTAATATCCCGCACTCAGCCAAGCAGCAGCAGCAGCAACAGCAACAACAAAATAAATATGGCGACCATGTCGGGAAATCGAACTGATGCTAACAACGATCGCATTTTATAAAACTTTAAATGTCAACCGCTTGGTGTTTTCGCGTTTTCAACTGAAATATCGGCAACTGAGAGTGAGAGCGGCCGAGTAATGAAGGGATTTTTGTTGTTGCGCAAATTAAATTTATATATATTTTTTTTCAAGTTTCAACGAGATGAATAAATTAAGTGGCCATAAACAAACAACCGACGAAAACATTTCTTTTTGGTGTTGTTGCCGTTGTATTTGTTGTTTTTAAATAGAAATATACGTAATAAAAAGAAAAACAACAAAATAAAATGTAATGCGAAATATTATTACCCTGCAGCCAAAGAAATTGTATTGCACTTGGTCTACTCGGTCGAACGAGCGACGAGAAGAGACCGGAAAAAAACAACACTATGAAAAACACACCGTCACTACGCGCGACGATAGCACCAAAAGTCGCGAATTATATTAATTTCAAGCAAGTTGAAAAAAAAAACACCAGAAAATTATTACTTAAATATCACAATAGAAGAAGAAAATTGATATTTTGTATTTTTAATCCTGTTTGGTATATCTTCAATTGACGCTTGACGAACGGTGACTGCTATGTTCGCGTTACATACAAATGATTGTCGCGCTGTTACGAACGATCCGCTTGTGTATGCTATTGCCGTACACAGAGATACGTTAAGAAACAGGAGCGTGCACGCAAGCACTTGAATCTTACTCAGCAAACAACAACGACAACGACGCGCACACACATTCAGCGCCATTTCATAGTGTGGAAAAGGCGCAAAAGGGACGGATTACCAAAGCGGTGCCGATAAGAAACAAAGAAAGAAAATAGTGTAATGTGTGGAAGAAAAACAAATGAACCATGAAACAAATGCAAAACCAAACTCTCTTAAACCGAAATAAGAATGCAAGCCCATTGGAGCAGTCAGAGCTATGTTCAGCAGTCGCTCACATTTTCGTACATTCACATAAATTGAGTAGGACAAAAGTGAACTACGCAAAATACACAAGGCATCGAACATCTCGATCCGATAATACGCGTACATCGCATACACGGAGACAACGACAACAGCACGACAGCACAACACATTTGCGCTGTGTGTGTGTGTGCGTGTGCGTGGTGTGTGTGTGTGTGTGTATACAGACGATACGTTTGCCATACATACTGGAACATCATACATATACATATACATCGAAGTACGGATATATATATATGCTTTATGAGGCTATGAGGCGAAGTGCAAATGGAATGAATATAGAATATATAGCATCGGATGTTTGAACGAAGTGAAAAAAAAGATCGTGCGCTGTTCGTACATTCGATGGAACGAATGGAATGGAAAATCAGAAAGAATTCAAACACTTGAGCATAGCTTACTCTTCCAAAGGAAAAAACCACAATGACAAGAAATACGACAAACAATTGCGAAATTCAATCGCTTGAATTTAGAAATGAAATATAATTTTGATGACCCGAAAAGAGAAGAAATTCATCGAATGTAGATCACTGCAGTGGATTTAAGAATGCTCGAAAAATAAAAACATCCACAATGTCACCATAATGAGCATGTAGAACGAAGAGCGCATAAACACCCGAACAGTATACCCAATGAATGGTGTTAAAGAAAGACACATGTATGAAGAGCGTACATCGAAAAATGCTCGATGAGTACGGAGAGCACGCTATGAAGAGCAGATATAGCAAATATAACAACGACATTAACAGAAGCAACGAAATAACCTAGGGGAAAATATCAATTGGTCGTACGCTATTATCTATGTTATTGGTTTTTCATCGCTATTCATTGGTATATCGGTGTGAATTGGTCAAATAAATTGAATATTCGTGTCAATCGTGTACATATAATGTGAATTCAACATAAAAATATAGAACAATAGAGACCGATGTACGCCGATATCCGCCAATATGCAGATTTTTGAACGCTTATTTTTGAAGAATAACCATACATCAGCGAATTCGTTTAAATCCACGTTTAAGTACCACGTACTTTTGGTTAACACCAAAATTGTGTTTAGTTCATGAAACTTGATAAAGTTTAAGTGCCGCGTACTTAAGCTAGTACTTAATTGCCGTAGTACTGGTCGCTAGCTTTAAATGTTCTTTAGAATTGATGCTGATATCATCAACAACAAATAAATGACACTAGAAATGACATGATAAATAAGTCCTTAAGTACGCGGTACTTGAGCAATAGATTAAGTACGCGTCACCTAAATATCTCTACCAATTTTAGTATGAAATATTGGTATATCGGCGAAATATTCACATTTCGGTTAAATATTTGAAAAAGGTCATAGAATCGTTACAAATTAACATTATTTGTTATATTGAAGCTTATTCAGAGGAAAAAAAATTTGATCGCAGCCCCTAGGAAATAACAGGCATTACAAATATTTTTCTGCTTATTATGGGCTTGGCTTGGCACATACAATTTGGTTTATTTCATTTCATTTTAAAAATTTTTCGTTTTCCTTTTTGCTTTCGTGTATATGATGATTTTTCAATGATATATACCGCTGATGGCTGTAGTTTTTCGAGTTGGCTTTTAGTTCGACATTCTCAGCTCAGCGTATATAGTTAATATGAGTTGAATAAAACAAAAACAAAACAAATTTATAGTTGTGTATATTGTCGCCGTCGTATAAAAACTGTGTGCTTTGCTGATGATGACGACGGCGACGATAATGATCGCTCGATAATGACGATGAGCAATGCTGTATTTTTTTGGGTAAATTTCATTTTTTCCGTTCTCGATGTACGTATGATGCGCGAATGGATGAATTTGGTGTGTGTGTCTTTGTTTTTGTCTACCTCGATTTTTCGGGAAACAAAATTCGATTCCACACACACAGTGTCATTTGCATAGATTTGTTTTGCTCCTCCCTTGTTCATTCTGTAGATCAACTATGCTTTTCGCTTGGAATTTTCAATACATTTTGTTCTCTGTTTGATTTTGGTACATTTTTGAATTCTTTAATTCAAATGCGTTCACAATTTTTCATTCATGCTCTGGCTAAAATGATTTTTTTTGTCGTCACCGCCACCGTCGTTGTTACTGTGGACGTTTTTGCGTAGCATTCGTTTGCTGGGTGACTGGAGCTGTCATGCGAACATCTTTTGTTCATTTTCCACATTTCGAGAACAATCGAAACAAATATTTTCGAGGCCGATGCGAACGATGAACACACAATGCCGATCGAAATGTAGCGAGGGGGCGCAAAATGGTGATCAAAATGAATTTGGTTTGGATCATTATATTACATATAAGTGTAACTCAACATGTAAACGAAATGGGAAACGGGCCCTTTTCGTTCCATTCGTAATGTAAATTTTCCACATATAAATATAAGGAAGGGAGATTTGAGACGAGGGAAACGGGATCTTTTTTTTATTTCATTAAGCACGAAACGATTTACACACTCACACAACAACCGTCCATCGGATATTTTGCGCTCGTTCGTTCGTTTGGGCGACAGAAACATTCGAGAATATACGATTTAGATAGAGAAAAAGAGACGCGATCGTGTGTTGTGCTGTGCAGTACTATGTTGTGTTTATGTTTCAGTTGAAAAACATGTTTGAAGGAAATTAAAGATTTGTTTCTCTCTTGTACGCTCGTTCCCCCTTCAATTGACGGCTTATGCGTCACAGCGCTCGGCATGTGTTGTGTTCTTTCCCTTTTATCCTCTCTGCTTATTTTTCTCTTCTTTTTTTTTGCTTCCATCGTTCAGTCCGCTTTTGTTTCCATGCAATTTAATGTTTTTGATGCGGTGTGCACGGTGTGTATGTTGCTTTATATATGTATTTTTTGTTTTTGGGGAAGCAGTTTTCATTTTGTGTTCGCATGAAAAATATTTGATTCCTGCCGATTATTTTGTGCTTTGGGCTGAATATCGGCGAACAAGCGTTCGAAAGAAAATAGAAAAATATCAAATCGTATGAACGTTCGTTGTAAATTCGTATAATGGCAGCTCAGAGGCGAGAGAGATAAAGATAGATAGAGAAAGAGAGAGAGAGAAAGGGAAAGAAGGTCGAATGTATGTTTGGATCGGTTCGTGTGAGTGAGCGCGAGATAATTGAAAATTGTGTGTGTGTGTGTCGCTCTCCCATCCACATAATTATCTTCTGCACATTACAAGAGCGAATGAATTCAATACGAAAACACTTGGCACCAACACATGCGCAACGCACATAGGGCGAGCGAGACAGACGGAAAGCAACATCCAACTCGACTCTTGAATGCAATTTTATATCAAAAACTATACACGAATAGAGGATGAATGTGTGCTTCGTTGTCACAGCCGTCATCGTCGGCGGCGGCGGCAATGTCGACGTTATTTTCCATTGCTGCTGCTGAAAGCGAATGCTAAATGGTGCTGTTCTGTGCTGAGCAGCAGCGGCGCAACGCGTTCGCCTGATTTCATTATTCAACACACATATGCATTCACAACAACATCGATAGTTAAGGGGGGAAAACAACAAAGACCGTATTTTACCTAAAACACACTAAGGCATAAACCAATTGGCTTGTGTGACTGTACATTTTTGCACGCAATTGTGCTCTCTTTCTCTCTCACTCTCACTCACTCTGTGTTCCGCACATTATTCAAGTATAAAGCGTTCTTTTTATTTCGGGTTGAAGCAGCAACAACAGCAACAACAACAACAACAACAGCAGCATACATGTATCTAT